ATATATAATATATTTTTAACTTTAAAGAAGAAATTATATTCTTAGGGATATCTTTCTTTATCTAAGAAATTTCTCCTTCTTACAAAATACATTTAAATACACACATATACATATTATTAATAACTTATTAAATTAAATGATACATTTAATTTAATACTGCTTTTAATATAATATTATTATTTGTCATTATTATTACATATTATTACATATTTTATTCGCGTGTATAATTATGTTATAATATTATTTATGTACATGATTAATATTAATTTTAAGAAAAGAAACTTATACCGATGATTTGATATTGACATAAAATTATTAATATTTTCAATGTTTGAACTTTAAAGTATCGAAAATTCGGAGTAAAAATATCGATATTTAATAATTATATTAGGATATAATATAAGATGTGTTAACATATTGCTTCACTGTTCCTACGGAACAATCGGCGAAATTCGGTGCGGATTATACGACATTGCTGCGCGTCGTAGATAAGGCGCTTACTACCGCCGTGGTGCATTTACAAATGCATTTTCAGTAATCGCGACACGTAAATCCGCTTATGAATTCGCAATGATCGGGGTGCATCCGAGCCCGAGCACGTATTCTCGATCGGAGATTTCTATGATTTCATTTGCTCAACTCTTGCTCGACTATCGCTTGCGCGCTATATTATACGGAAGGCTTTTGTATCTAAATATGTATTTTTTATATATACACACTCGTATATACAATAAGTCATAAGATAAGAGTATAATTATCTAGTTTGCATTATTCGGATAAAATTTAATATTTATCATCTTTATTATATTTTCATTATTCGTTATAGAAAAATGACATAGTTTAAGAGCCATTTTATCAAAATTTTTTATCTAGAAATCTTTTGTGACACATACACACGCACGCACGCACGCGCGCGCGCGCGCGCACACACACACACACACACACACAAATCTACTCTTGTGGAAAAAATTTTTAAAAGTTGTATAATAAATGACAAGTCGTGTGTGCGTGCGCGCGCGTGCGTGTGTGCATACATCTTAGGAAATTTATTATAATCTTATACATTGAAAAATTTGGATGATGTAATGTGAAAAGCAATTGATATTTATTGATTGACAATTGAATTAAATAACCGATATTTAAGTAAGTTATTTCTTTGTGTGGAAAAATAGATCTCTAAAACATGACAAATTTTCGTCATCTTCACAACAACTTTCTTTTAATTTGTTGTGTTACTTATGTAACGCGCAATACGATACATTTAGAAAAGAGCATTATAATGACATAACTGACATCGCGGCAGAAGTATTTTTAGTACGTATATAGCAACGCGATAAATCTTCTGCTTTTTACGAGATTTCGTTAAGGATAAAAGGCACGGTGTATAAGGATAATTTAATGGCCGCGAAGGCGACGGACCGAGAGTAAGTTATCCTGCGGTCGATTGTGCAGCTTATGCGAGACGAGAAATCACGGAAATGTGGACATATGAAAAAATAAAATACATCCACGAATTTACCGAGAAAGAGAGAAGAGAAATTAATCATTTGAATAAAATACTTTAGAGAGAGAGTATGGCAAATACAAATTTTTTTCAAGGGGGATACTTATTCTTTGTAAAGTATTATTGCAAAGATTCACAATTTTGGGGATTTATCTTGTTGATATTTAACCGAAGAATATTGTTTACGAAATTTATATATTTATAGCCACTGGGATTGGTTGGTATGTTGCTTATTGATAGCTATATCTTAGAATTAGTTGATTATATATTTATTAGAAATAGGAATTTTATACTAAACATAAGGAATAAAGGAGATATTTGTGAAATATATATTATATTACAAACATCTCCTTTATTCGTAATACATGTAATACATCGTAAAGTCAAGAGTTAAACATAATGAATGTAAATCATAAAATTAGCCATTTAATTTCATAGACATAATGTTGGCATCTTACATATTTTACTTATCAAAAAATCGATACGTTATAAGACTTTCTGTGTATTCGACTCTGGAATACTACAATTTTCCACAATCGCATATTACAACTTATTAAAAGAACGTTTCGCATGTTTGTATTTTATTGGATAATTAAAAAAAATATTTTTTTAAAAATCCTTTTTTAATTTATTATATACAAGAGAGAGAGAGAGAGAGAGAGTATGTAGATTTTTAAAAAATTTATAATAAAAGTATAAAATATTTTTTAGAGACTGGATGTTATTTCACATTCGGTATAGTATTCCAGGATTAAAGAAAAAACGGATACAAAAAAAACGATCATAGCTGAACTCCGGTGGACTAAGTTGTGGCCATTCTTTTAATTCTTTAACCTCGGTCGTTGATCGATGTAGCACACCCACGCGACACGAAAATGGAATAATCAGTGCAAAAACCCAGATTCAAAGGTAATCTGCCCACATCCTCAGTAGCATTTGGATACATTTTCATTCCTGAAGATAGTATCGGCTTTTTTGTTCAAGTATTACTTTGTCGTTCCCTTTACTTTTGGCGAGAAAGCTCTCTAATATATACGATGCATCCGTTGCATCGTTGCTGCATAAATGCGAAACAATAGTTTTTCAGAGCAAGCATGTAATTGTAGAAAGTGTCCCATATCGGAAAATCGAAAAAATTATAAAGTTTTTGAATCGACAAAAATTGAATATACATGCACATTATATACATAGTAATTATAGAGAGAGAGAGAGAGAGAGAGAGAGAGAGAGAAATGAACTGATTTCAAATATATTTTTACTTTTCACGTTGTTAAATATTACAATTTCTTACTTAATAACCTTCACACACACAGATAATGTGTGTCTTTTTTATTTCAAATATTACACATTTTCAATGTGGAGGTGTGGATTTAATAAGTCAGATTTATAATAAATATTATAATACTAAAAACTAAAATGTCGGTATTATGTGCAATTCTACACAAATGCACAAGTGCGCATGGTTCTCGGTGTGAATAAATCGTGCTGTGATTCAATAGTGAACATTTACTGAGTGACATGCGCCACGCGAAATTTCATTAGGCCAGAGAGTAGATTTGCTTAATCCGCATTACTTTTTCCGCACGAAAGACTTTGCATGGCGTGACAAGATCATTAAAGGAATTAAGGATACTTGTTTTATTTACCGTTTATTTTCTACATTTTCCATATTGCGCAAAATAAATGCAAAAAATGGGCACAAAATGGGCTTTATGAGTTTACAAGCGCTAAATGTACAAATTTCAAGGATTGCTGTAAACGTTTTCGAAATATCGTACGCGTAGTCGGCCGTGAAAATTTGATGGTTGTAATATATTTTAATGCAACTTTGAGCACAGCGTTAATCACACACACATTTCTTTGCCGCTAGTTATGCAATATACTAGGCAGGCTACCGAAGTCACGTACCACTATTATATAATATTTCTCGGTCGATGATTAAACAATACTAAAGAGCAATTTATACGATATTACATCTATTTCGCTAAGCCAGACGCAAACAAAACGGCTTTATTTCGTGATAGCCGCTTCTATGAAATATGTCATATGTACATACAAAATTTATCATTCATATACAAAATAATATAATAATAATAGTAATGTTATCATTGATTTTTTTATTTATTGATTAACTAATAACACTAATTCGGCACGATTAATTATCATTTTTATAAGAACAATGTCGAGAGAAATATCAAACTCGTTCAAAAATTTGTCGAAACTGCAAACTTGTCGAAATCAATTTTTAGAACTACAAACGGTTCTAAATAATTAATTTTTCCAATTGTAATATTATATCAATATATTCAATTCATAAAATATACTTTTCAATTAAAACAGTGAATTTAACTTTTGAAGTTAAAATACAAAATTGCTCAGATTTATAAGGATAGGAGTTAAAAATGATATTTATATATATATATATATATGCATGTATGTACGTGTATATTTTTTTTGTACGGTCAGTGATAATGTTTAATGCAAGTGAATGCAATTTTATCTGCGCGTGCAAGCGGCACGAACGACTTTGACATCATGAACATTAAATTGCCGATCAATCATTTCCAGTACAGAGTAGTTTCGGCTCACCCATTAACCGAACGAAGCTCGTAATCGCAAACTATTTCAATAGCTGGAGTTTGATAACTCTCGTGCTTGTTAGCGCTTCGAGAGCCGCGCCCATTCGCATTGTCAGAGAAAAAACGGTACTTTGGAGACACGGGGTATATCACATACGTACGCGCGCGCGTGATATTAAATGGCAAAAGAAAGCATTCGAGCGCAATGAGAAAAAAAGAGTCGCGAGAATGAGAATTTCTCGTCTCGTGTTTTACAAGGGCGTTTTCCCCCTTTTTCCGTTCCTCCTTGTCTCCCTTGTTCGCCGTCACCGTTTGAAATTACGTCTACGTATCGTAGATGCGGTAAATTTATTTGCTATCGCAATCGTATACTTGTAAGAATTTTGCTTCTTCTCTCCTACAATTTTCGTTTTTTTTTTTCCGATTTATGAAATTATATATTACATGGATTTAAAAAATGGAAATCGAAAAATTGTTGGCCTTTATTTACCCTAAATGGATGAGAATCAATCGATAATATTTTAATCTTGTTAGAATTTATCAATATTTATATGTAAAAATAAAATATTTTATTTTGTTAGATGAGAATATTTGAATACTAGGTC